CATCATCCGTTACCTATAATCACAATTCGATTACTGCAATTAATATTTTATTTCCATTGTACTGTACACCAGAACATAGAGTTTAGAGCTAGTCTCTCAAAGTTACACTCTTGTTCGTCACATTCAAGTCAGTCTCACTCGCCGTCATCGAAAATCATATGTATTGGTATTTTTATCATGCCTTAAAACGGTTTCGTAACAATGAGGTTGAGCACATATCCCTCTAACTACACAAACCGCGCTAGGCTTCTAGACCAAAAAGGAATACGACCCCGCATATTTCGTCTAAGCAGTCACTATCCTGTTCCTCTGGTCATTCTACTTACTTACTTACTTACGCCTGTTACCCCTCGTCGAGGAGCATAGGCCGCTCACCAGCATTCTCCATCCAACTCTGTCCTGAGCCTTCCTTTCCAGTTCTTTCCAGTTGCTATTCATCCTTTTCATATCGGCTTCTATTTCCCGGCGTAGTGTGTTCTTTGGCCTTCCTCTTTTCCGCTTCCCTTCCGGATTCCAAGTTAGGGATTGAGTCGTGATGCACATTGGTGATTTCCTTAATGTATGTCTGATCCACTTCCAACGTCTTTTCCTAATTTCCTCTTCAGCTGGAAGCTGGTTTGTCCTCTCCCATAAAACGCTGTTGCTGATAGTATCCGGCCAATGGATGTTGAGTATTTTGCGTAGACAACTGTTTATAAATACTTGTACCTTCCTGATGATGGCCGTAGTAGTTCTCCACGTTTCAGCTCCATACAGTAGGACTGTCTTGACGTTCGTATTAAAGATTCTGACCTTGAAATTGGTTGAGAGTTGTTTTGAGTTCCATATGTTCTGCAATTGTAGAAATGCTACCCTTGCTTTGCCAATCCTTGCCTTTACATCTGCATCCGATCCTCCTTGTTTATCAACGATGCTCCCCAGGTACTTGAATGTTTCCACCTCTTCCAGAGTTTCGCCATCAAGTGTGATTGGGTCGGTGTTCTCCGTGTTGCATTTGAGAATCTTGCTTTTTCCTTTGTGAATGTGGAGGCCTATCGATGCGGAGGCTGCTGCTACATTTGCTGTCTTCATCTGCATTTGGTCGTGTGTATGAGAGAGGAGGGCTAGGTTATCTGCGAAGTCCAAATCATCTAATTGATTCTGAGAAGTCCATTGTATTCCGTATTTCCCTTCAGATGTCGAAGTCTTCATAATCCAGTCAATCACCAGAAGGAAGAGGAATGGGGAGAGTAGACAGCCTTGTCTGACTCCGGTCCTTACTGTAAATGCATCTGTCAGCTGTCCTCCATGCACCACTTTGCACTGTAGTCCATCGTATGAGTTCTGGATAATGTTGACAATCTTTTCAGGAACTCCATAGTGTCGAAGAAGTTTCCATAATGTTCTCCTGTCCACACTGTCAAACGCCTTCTCATAGTCAATGAAGTTGACGTATAGTGATGAGTTCCACTCAACTGATTGTTCAACGATGATCCGTAGTGTCGCAATCTGGTCTGTGCACGACCGATCCAGCCTGATGATCCCTAAGTTCGGCGTCTACTGCGTCTTTCATCCGATTCAGCAGCACTCTGTTGAAAACTTTTCCTGGTACTGATAACAAACTGATACCTCTGTAGTTCTCACATTGGCTCAGATCTCCTTTCTTTGGTATCTTGATGAGATATCCTTCTTTCCAGCCCGTTGGCACTTGTTCCTCTTCCCAAATCTTTTTGAATAGAAGGTGAAGCATGTTTGCAGTTATTTCAATGTCTGACTTCAGTGCTTCTGTTGGTATATTGTCAGGTCCTGCCGCCTTCCCACTTTTGATTTGTCTGATGGCCATCTTGACTTCTTCGATCGTTGGTGGAGTGACATCTATTGGAAGGTCAGTGTGGGCTGCTTCGATGTTCGGTGGATTCGATGGGGCTGGTCTATTCAGCAGTTCCTCAAAGTATTCTGCCCATCTTTTCCTCTGTTCCTGAATCTCAGTGATTGTCTTTCCTTCTTTGTCTTTGACTGGTCTCTCTGGTTTGCTATATCTCCCTGCCAATTTCTTCGTTGTATCATATAGTTGTTTCATATTCCCTTCTCTTGCAGCTTTTTCCGCCGCCGTTGCTAGTTCTCCCATGTATTTCTGCTTGTCGGCTTTAATGCTTTTCTTCACTTCTCTGTTTGCTTCTGCGTAGTCTGCTTGTGCTTTAACTTTCTCTGCTCGTGTTCGGCTGTTGTTAATTGCTAGTTTCTTGTTCTTCCTTTCTTGAAGTTTGTCCAGGGTCCCCATAGAGATCCATTCCTTGTGATGGTGCTTCTTAGGACCAAGAACCTCCTGACACGTTGAAGTTAGTGCTTCTTTTATCCCTTTCCAGTTGTCCTCCAAAGTAGTTTCTTGTTCTTTCAGTAGATCCTGTAGAGCTTGGAACCTGTTGTTGAGAGTTATCTTGAATTCATGGAGTTTGTCAGTATCTCGAAGGAAAGCTGTATTAAACCGTTGTAGTGCTGTTTGTCCAGTTGTCCAGTCTTTCTTTAGCTTCAGTCTCATCTTGGCCACAACCAGGTGGTGATCTGAAGCTATGTCAGCTCCTCTCCGGGTTCTCACATCTTCCATTGATCTTCGGAATTTTTTGTTGATACAGATGTGATCTATCTGGTTCTCTGTGGTGTGGTCCGGTGAGATCCATGTGGCTGTGTGTATGCGTTTGTGTGGGAATATTGTGCCGCCTATAACCAATTTGTTGAAAGCACATAGGTTTGCAAGTCTCTCCCCATTTTCATTTCTCTCTCCTAGTCCATGTCGTCCAATTACATCTTCATATCCTGTGTTGTCCACTCCAACTTTAGCATTTAGATCTCCCATAAGGATGGTGAGGTCCTTTCGTGAGCACTTTGCTATAATTGATTGCAGCCTTTCATAGAACTGATCTTTATCATCGTCGTTGCTATCATTGGTGGGTGCATAACATTGGATAACATTCATTGTGATCCCTTGCTTCTTTGTTCTGAATGATGCTTTGATTATCCAGGGTCCATGAGATTCCCATCCCACAAGTGCATTTCGTGCTTCTCTGGACAGCATTAGAGCAACTTCCTGAGTGTGTGGCGCATTTTCCCCTTCGTGACCGGAGTACAGCAGCATCTCTCCTGTACCTAGCCTTTGTTGTCCAGTTTGTGTCCAATGGGTTTCGCCGATTCCGAGTACTGCCATGTTGTATCTCCTCATTTCCATTGCTATTTGGCTGGTCTTTCCTGTTTCCCACATTGTCCGGACGTTCCATGTACCTATAAAGAGTGTTGCTCTGGTTGTTAGAAGGTGCATCGGTCTCGTGACTTCCGAAGAATTTCGGCTTTCATCATGAGACGTCATTATTCCTTCAACTCCCAGGGCAGAGTTTAAATGGTTTGGATTATTTTTTCTGGTTAGCGTTTTTTTAGCGAGTTAGCTTTTCTACGGGATGGGGTCGCTAACCTCATGCCCAACCCTCCTCCTTTACCCGGGCTTGGGACCGGCAGTAACTCTAGAAGAGCTACAGGCGGAGTTTCTGGTCATTCTACTAATACATATTTAACGACAACTCAACGCAAGTGTTAGCGCACGCTGATTTCGCATTTTATTATCATAATCAATTGCAGTACAGCAATGAATACCACTTGTTGATGCAGTCATCTTCCTACGGCTGGATTACTTCTTATCCCACATAAACTTCAGTTACGTAAATTCGAATACACTCATCGCTAAGAGACTATTTACTCTAATGCGGCTTATCAGAACATCATATTTCACTGTTCTTCATTCTCATATTCAATTGGCACTACAGACCAATTTCTATTATATTCTACATTACTTATTTCCACGATTTATTCCGCTGTCATACCCATAAACAATTTATTGCTCTATTTTCACGATATTTCGAATCGCTCATACAAACATGTTATTTTATCATCCGGACAGTCTCAACATAAATGCATGTTAAATTTTTTGTACGCTTACTAATTTACTCATAATCACATGCCAACATTTCCATTTCTGTCCAAATTTTGACAATTTTCATGTACATTTTCACATAAGTGTGACACTTTCGTTTAATAAACTCGCCCCTCGATTGACACTGTAACTTATTCGATATAGTACAATTTTTTCTCTACCTATTATTAACGTTATCCATATGCCATTTCAGTGTTATTTTCAAATTAATGTGCTAATACTTTAATTTTGGTTTGTGAACGCATATACACCTCCTCCCCCTTGTTTATTTTGCATAACAGTGTTTCCTCCGGACACTCTGGGGGGAGCTATGTGGGGAGTAGTGTAACGTCGTGTACTATATTACACCTATATAGCTTATTCTAGTTTCTGGACAAGCCAATTCACCTATAACGTTATGAGTCATATTTTGATCTTGTTAATTATTCGCTTATTGACCTTGACTATTTTTTTATATGAGCGCATGTGTATGCACCCTTCTTATCCTACCTATCACATGTCTGTCATTCATTTTAGCCTGACTATAAATGTTGATTAATGCTTGCTCATATCGAGTTGGCTTCCCAGCCATCTCCACTCTGCGCCATCTTTCCTTCGCTTGCTTACATTTGCTAATGTGCTCACTGCCTTCTAGCCCATGTTATTTATCAATAAAAATGTAGTTGCTGCTTCCCTTTGTCTTCTGATATTATACACCGTTCAGATTGTTATAATAACGGTTATCAAGACGATCGATTAACGAAGCGCAACACTACATATTGGGGAAGCCAACTCAAGAGCGAGGCGAAAGATGATGGGTATTGGAGATGGCTGGGAAGCCAACTCGTTATAAGCAAGCATTAATCAACATTTATAGTCAGGCTAAAATGAATGACAGACATGTGATAGGTAGGATAAGAAGGGTGCATACACATGCGCTCATATAAAAAAATAGTCAAGGTCAATAAGCGAATAATTAACAAGATCAAAATATGACTCATAACGTTATAGGTGAATTGGCTTGTCCAGAAACTAGAATGAGCTATGTAGGTGTAATATAGTACACGACGTTACACTACTCCCCACACTTTCTTCCAATACCTGGATGAGCTGTGTGCAGTTGTTTCAGAACGAGTGGGCGTAGGTTACTTGGAATTACTACGCGATTAGCGAACATAATACAATCATTTACGATGGATAAAGATTGGCGTCGTTGATAATACTGTTTTAGTTCATGAGATGTTATACGTGGGGGCCAACCACGCCGGATAAATGTAGCTAGTTGCCTCAAGATAGGATCACGGAGAGTGTGATCAGCGATTCGAGCAGCTGTCACTGGAAGAATTCGCGTTGAATTGAGCAACATGCTGCTTACATCTTCTTCCACTGATATAGAAGCAATGACAGTATCTTCATTTTCAAGCTTATGATTTCTTATTAAGCGCGATAGTGCATCAGCATGACCAAAGTCAGAGGTAGATTTGTATTTGATAGTGAAATCATAACCCAACAACATTGTAGCCCATCGTTGGAGGCGATTTGCAGTATAAACTGGTATACCTTTCTTAGATCCAAAGATCGATAATAGGGGTTTATGATCAGTAAATAAGGTAAATTTTCTACCATGCAGCATTTTGTGAAACTTCTTAACTGCAAAAACTAGTGCCAATCCTTCTTTCTCAATTTGGCTGTACTTGCGTTCTGCCGAAGTCAACGTTCTGGAGGCATGGGCTATAGCTTTCTCTGTGCCGTCTTGAAACCTGTGGGATATAACAGCTCCGACACCATAATCAGAAACAACGATTTCCAGTGAGGGATCAAAATACGTAAGAAGTAAATCCGATATTAATAGTGACTTTACTTTGTCAAAACTCTTTTGACACTCAGTGGACCAGTTCCATTTTACATTTTTGGATAATAGATGGTTCATGGGTGCTCGTAGGCGATGCAATTCTGGTAAAAAGTTACTGTAATAACTGATAAGACCAAGGAACGAGCGTAGAGTTGCGACGTTAGATGGTGGAGGCATATTTTGGATAGCTCGTACGTTTTCTGGATCTGGGCGTCGTCCACTTTTGTCGAAAACAAAACCAAGATATTTTACCGAGTCCATGAAAAATTTACACTTCTCTTCTTTTAGATAAAATCCATACTCAGATATTTTGGTCAAAACAGCATCAAGTCGATCAAATAAATCGGACTTACTGGAACCTGTAACGATAACGTCATCCAGATAGACAGCGACTCCTGGCAAATTTGCCAACATAGTGTCCATAATTTGTTGAAAAATAGCTGGTGCTGGTTTCACACCAAAAGGCAAACGTTTATATTGATAAAGACCTCTGTGAGTGTTAATCGTCAGTAGTGGTTGGGAGACTGGATCAACTGCTATTTGGAGATATGCGTCAGCAAGGTCAATCTTAGCAAAATACTTCCCTCCATTTAGTTTGATAAATAAATCTTCCTGTATGGGAAGTGGATAAGTGTGATCCTCTAAAGCATCATTTAGACCAGTGGAAAAATCAGCACATATGCGAACAGTCCCATTTGCCTTTCTCACAACTACTATGGGAGCAGCCCACGGTGAGTAATTTACTGGCTGAATGACACCCAGTGCTTCTAACCTGTCAAGTTCCTGGTCAACGACTGACAGAGCAGCATAAGGTACTGGTCGTTTTGGTCTGAAGACAGGTTTTGCATTTTGCTTTAACGACAAGAAAACTTTGGTGAACTTACAACAGCCCAGTTTGCTTTGGAATACATCTGCATGTTTTTGCCGAAGATGATTTACGTGGGATATGGTCGACATTTTAGAGGAATAAGATGAATAAGATTTTGAGATATTACGGCAGCATACTTTGTTTGACGAATTTGATGGGGAAACATTTTGTGAACATGTTACATCGGAGTTATTTGATTTAGCATCATTATGAGAACACATCAAATCGGAGGTATTTGATTTGACATCATTATGAGAACACATTAAATCGGAGGAATTCGATTCCGAAATATTACGAGAACATGTTACATCGGAAGCATTTAGTTCATAAACATCAGGGGAACATAACACAACTGAGGCATTGGATTCGGAAATATCATGAGAATTTTGGATAGAATTAGAGCAAGGATTATGAGAACATACTTCATTTAATAAACTATTCAAGACATCAATCTTCTCAATCCAGTCCAATCCCAATAGATCTAAATCATGCCGATTTGTTAGATGACAGGTGACTTCTCCAGTTAGCTTCACTATGTCGCCTGAAGCATTTCGAGCAACATGCTCTGTTGGTCGGATGCGTGGGCACCCTAGCTTACGCCATGTGTTCTTGGAGATCAGTGTAATGTCGGAAGCAGTGTCTAACTGAAGACGAATAGGTTTTTCATTCACTAATAAGTTCACATACTTCCGTTTACTTTGAAATCCCACTTTAAAAGTTGCAAATGTGCTTTTGACTTGACTCTGTGGCTGTCGCTTCACCTTTACGCCACGATGTTTGGACTGACGTTTATCTGATGAGCAGTAACCTTCTTTATGACCAATGCGATGACATTGGCGGCATTTGTGGTTCTTAAATGGGCATAACTTCACAAAGTGCCATGATCCGCAGGACCAACATGGTGATGGTGGTTTACCAGAAGGTTTCTGTGTGTTCGCCTTCTTTTGTTTGGAAGGTTTGTGAGATCTGCATGCATTTATTGATGCAAGATTGGAAGTCTTTGCATTTTGTTGTACCATCGTGGAATCATGTTTAAGATTTAACAACCGCTGACACTCGGTTGTGACCATTTGCAGGGTCATATTAGGCTCCTGCTCAATGCGTGATAGAATTATGGTACGTACATCCATATCTTCCGAATTCTTTAATCCACAGATAAAAATCTGACATTTAAATTGATCTGCTGTAATTTCATTTATTCTAAAACGTTCACATTCTTTATTTACATATCCAGCGTATGTGAGATAATCATCAGATAAGGATTTAGATATTTGAAAACACTGATAACGGATGCTGAATAATGAGGATTGTTCACCAAAAATTTGGGACAAAGTTTGAATTGTCTCATTGAATGATAAATCTCGTGGATTTTGTGGCAAAGTGAAATTTACATATTTGTTATGTTCAAGTGTTCCGAGTCTTCTCAGTTTTTGTTCATTCTTCTCATGTCTGTCTCTATTTCTCGGCGTAATGTGTTCTTTGGTCTTCCTCTTCTCCTTCGACCTTCAGGATTCCATGTGAGGGCTTGTCTTGTGACGCAATTAGGTGATTTCCTCAAGGTGTGTCCTATCCACTTCCAGCGCTTCTTCCTGATTACTTCCTCTGCTGGAATCTGGTTTGTTGTCTCCCACAGTAACTTGTTGCTGATAGTGTCTGGCCATCTGATCCGAAGTATCTTGCGTAGACAGCTGTTAATAAACACTTGTATCTTCTGGATAATGGCTTTCGTAGTTCTCCACGTCTCCGCCCCATACAGAAGAACTGTCTTGACATTTGTATTGAAAATTCTAACCTTGGTGTTGGTTGACAATTGTTTTGAGCTTCAGATGTTTTTCAGCTGTAGGTATGCTGCTCTTGCTTTGCCGATCCGCGCCCTCACATCTGCATCTGATCCACCGTGTTCATCAATGATGCTGCCCAGATATGTAAAGGTTTCTACATCTTCCAAAGCTTCTCCATCAAGTGTAATTTGATTGGTGCATATTGTATTGTATCGGAGAGTCTTGCTTTTCCGTTTGTTTATATTGAGACCTACTGCTGCTGAGGCTGCTGCTACACTGGTCGTTTTCTCCTGCATTTGTTGTTGCGTTTGTGATAGAAGAGCCAGATCATCCGCGAAGTCTAAATCGTCAAGCTGCATCCTGCCTGTCCACTGTATTCCGTGATTTCCTTCAGATGTTGACGTCTTCATAATCCAGTCGATCACGAGGAGAAAGAGAAAGGGTGAGAGTAGGCAACCTTGCCTAACACCGGTCTTTACTTCAAACGAGTCGGTGAGTTGTCCTCCGTGGACGATTTGGCAGTTTAGTCCATCATAAGAGTTCCGTATGATATTTGCTATCTTCTCAGGCACACCGTAGTGTCGAAGAAGCTTCCATAGTGTCGTCCTGTCCACGCTATCAAATGCCTTCTCGTAGTCGATGAAGTTGATGTACAGTGATGAATTCCATTCGATTGATTGTTCCACAATGATACGTAGAGTTGCGATTTGATCTGTGCACGATCTATCCTTACGAAATCCAGCTTGTTGATCTCGAAGTTGAGCGTCCACTGAATCCTTCATTCTGTTTAACAATACTCGGTTGAAGACTTTTTCTGGTATTGAGAGGAGAGTAATGCCCCTGTAGTTGTCGCACTTACTCAGATCGCCCTTCTTTGGTATCTTGATCAGAAGTCCTTTTTTCCAGTCTGTTGGTACTTGTTCTTCGTCCCAAATCTTACTGAAGAGGATGTGGAGTATCTTGGCAGTTGCTGGTACATTTGCTTTCAGTGCCTCTGCCGGGATGTTGTCTGATCCCGCTGCTTTGCCGCTCTTCATTTGTCTAATGGCCATGCTGATCTCTTCAAATGTTGGTGGGCCAACATCGATTGGGAGGTCTGTGGGTGCTGCTTCGATGTTGGGTGGGTTCAGTGGAGCTGGTCAATTCAAGAGTTCGTTGAAGTGTTCTACCCACCTGTTTCGTTGTTCTTCAATGTCGGTGATTACTTTGCCTTCCTTGCTTTTCACTGGTCTTTCTGGCTTACGGTAATTTCCAGCAAGTTTCTTTGTTGTATCATACAGTTGTTTCATGTTTCCTCCTCTTGCAGCCTTTTCCGCTGTCATCGCTAAATCTTCCACATATTTACGTTTGTCGGTTCTGATGCTCCTTTTCACTTGCTTGTTTGCCTCTGTGTATTCGGCTTGTGCCTTGGCTTTTTCTGCTCTTGTTCGTCTGATATTGATTGCTGTCTTCTTGTTCCTCCTTGCTTCAATTTTATCCAGTGTACCAACAGTGATCCATTCCTTGTGATGGTGCTTCTTTTGGCCCAGAACCTCTTGACACGTTGAAACGATTGCCTCCTTGATACCTTTCCAGTTGCTCTCCATGGTAGTCCCCTCTCCATTGAGTAGATCATGAAAGGACTCGAACCTGTTGCTGAGTGCTATGTTGAATTTGTTGAGTTTGTCAGCATCTCGAAGAAAGGCCGTGTTAAACTTTTGTGATGTTGTCCGCGCCGTTTTCCACTGCTTCTTGAGTTTTAGTTTCATCTTGGCGACCAGCAAATGATGATCGGATGCTATATCAGCTCCTCTTCTGGTTCTCACATCCTCCATCGTCCTCCTGAACTTTTTGTTGATGCAGACATGGTTGATTTGATTTTGTGTAGTGTGATCCGGTGAAATCCAAGTGGCTTTGTGTATGTTTTTGTGTGGGAATATGGTGCCACCTATGACCAGTTTATTGAAGGCACATAGGTTTGCAAATCTCTCACCATTTTCGTTCCTTTCTCCCAGTCCATGTCGTCCCATGACGTCTTCGTATCCAGTGTTGTCCATTCCAACCTTGGCATTGAAATCTCCCATTAGAATGGTCAGGTCCTTGGTTGGGCACTTCTCGAAGATTGACTGCAGCCTATCGTAGAATTGGTTTTTAGCGTCTTCATCGTAGTCGTTGGTCGGCGCATAGCATTGGATGATGTTCATTGTAATGCCCTCTCTCTTTGTTCTGAAGGAGGCTTTGATGATCCTCGGTCCATGAGATTCCCATCCAACAAGTGCATTTTGTGCTTTTCTAGACAGCATCAGTGCCACTCCTTGTGTATGTGGGTCATTTTCTTCTTCATGACCGGAGTATAACAGAAGTTCTCCTGAAGACAGTCGTTGTTGTCCAACCTGCGTCCAATGTGTTTCGCTGATTCCAAACACCTCCAGCTTGTATTTTCTCATTTCTGCAGCAATTTGAAAGACTCTGCCGGTCTCCCACATTGTTCGGACATTCCATGTACCTATAAAATTTGTCACTCTGGTTGTAAGAAGGTGCATCGGCCTCATGACTTCCGAAGGAACTCGGCTTTCATCATGAGACGTCATAATTATTCCTTCTACTCCCAGGGCAGAGTTTGTAAGGTTTGAATGATTTTTTCTGGTTGGCGTTTTTTTAGCGAGTTGATTTTCTACGGGATGGGGTCGCTAACCCCATGCCCAACCCTCCTCCTTTACCCGGGCTTGGGACCGGCAGTAGCCCCTGGAGGAGCTACAGGCGGAGTTATATATATTACAGATTTTTAAAATCTGATGAATATAATATGATGAAAATGATGAAAATTTTTGGTTACAATAATTAAGGTCATTTAAGTTCATAGAGGTGTAAAAATAAATGATATCATGAGCATTTATGAATAAAATAATGAGAACATAAGACAGAAGTAAAGGGGAACCCAGTAATAATAATAATTATTATTAAGGCCATGGTAACGATGACGACAGGACGTACTTCTCTTGTATGCATAGTTCTGGTTTGAGCTCATGAATGGTAAGAGCTTAGACTACTTTTAGGAGTTTGATACGAAGAAATCTATGGAAATTTGAACGAATCATATAAACAACCTTAAAATCAGACTGCGGATCCGTAGAATGATTACGGTCGATTGAGTGTTCAAGTATAGAACTCCTCACTGCTTTCCCTTCACCCTTATAGAACCAAAATGGGATATGTTCTCGTATCCGAGTTGAAAGCGAGAGTTGGCTACGGTCAATGTACCTAGCTTCACAAGAGCAGGTGAACTGGTAGATGCATATGGAGGCGATCAGACACCGAAGCTTATCTTTTATGGATACAGAAAATAAGTTCTTACTAGTGAAGGTTATTCGCAGTTTTGCCGCATTAAATGTTCGTTTATTCGCTGTCGTTAAACGATTTTCGATTACGTCAGATGTTCGATGACCTTTAAATTCCAGACTTATGTAGAGGTTTTTCTTTGGGGCGGAACAAATAGATTTCTTTTCATACCTACTTCTATTCATATTATTCTCTATGAAACGATCTGGGTAGCCATTTTCTGTCAAGGTTTTCCTGAGGAATGCAATTTCTTCGTCAATGCATTCCGTACTGCATATCCGATATGTTCAATGATATAAATGGTGGATGAGATTTCTTTCTACTTAAAGGAACTCAGCTAAAGAAGTTGGTTAGCTGGACATCCTATGTTTGTACTTTAACAAAAAATTTTCATATATATACGATTGCACATCTTGATAATAAATTCGTTGAAAACAGATCCCCTCGCTGAGCTTCGTATTTTTAATTTTTAATGTTTAAATGGGAATTATCTGTCAAAGCCGCATTCAGACTAGTAGCGTTCACTTGCCAGTGTTTCTCCTCCATAATTTGACATATATTTCACTGGTCGAACGCATCGTTTATTTCACTAAATAGCTATTGATATATGTTCTAGTGTTCATAGATTACTGATGACTAATTATACACATGTTACAAATAACATAAATATGTACAGGTTCCGATTTTCTAACCATTATGCATTGCGATTGTTGATTTAGTGTGCACAAATCTGTGATTTTGAATAAGGAAGACGATACAGTAATAGAGGATAAATCTTCTTGCTCTCTTCATCTTCTGATAGGTCACTGAAAGTGAAGTTAACTATATTGGTCAATAGGCATTAATATCTTCAGTCGTTTTTGAGGGTCAGTTGAGTTATTGGTAAGAATAAAGTTCATTGATCTGATTGGCAGAAAGCGAACTCATCAATAAAGAACTCTATAATTAAGTGATTATATTTAGAGGGCATAGAGAAGTTGTACTCATAAAATAAGTATTTCAAGACTGAAAAGTTATACAACGGACATCATTCATAATAGTTGTGAAGTAAGCAAGATACCTAAACAGATATACTGAAATCATGACTATGTAACACATTTTTTAAACGATGTTTCCGTCTCAATCTGTCTCGTGATATATTTTTCTCTTTTCTTACCCTTACATTTGTTCATTAAATTATTGGAGGTGAGTTTATTGCAAAACAGAGACTATACTGGCAGTTCACAAACTCTAATGAATTTCTATTAGCAGAGCGTTGTTTTTCTTATTCTGCTATTTTTTTCCATTTCCTTATTTATTATGCCAAGATCAAATTTTCGCACAAACTCACTTAAAATCCGTTGACTGCGAAACTTATGAGTAGGTTTGCTAGGTATAGATATTTATATACTGAGTAAGGAAACAAACGGCTTTATTTTATGAATAAAATCGTACAGTAATAATGTTTTATTTATTTGTTGTGGTTACCTCAGGAAATAATTGACAGTGTTTTTATGTGTTATCTTAGGATTCGAAAAAAATCTTGTACATTCCTAATTTTTCAACTAGAAACGTTTTCATAACTGTGGGTCGGGATGAGTCGAGAAAAGACCAGTATAAATCATGGGTAGCTTTGGTCAGTTAATCTTTACATCCTTACGTACGTGTACTTACGTCAGTTACCCATCATGAAGGAGCATAGGCCGCTCATCTGGATTCTCCATCATACTTTGTCCTGGACAATCTTTTCCAGTTGTTACCAATTCCTATTCATTCTTTTGATGTCTACTTCCAACTAATTGTTCTCGAGTCTTCCTCATTTCCTCCTGTCTTCAGGATTCCAACTTAGTGCTTGCCGAGCGATGTAATTTGATGAGTGAGTATTTATCAAACAGTTATTTTATAGTATTTTTATGCAATAGTGAATTTAAGCTTTATCATTCGACTCATCTAAATAATGTAATACTTTTGCCGTTCATAAATTGCACAAGTCTAAGTGACTATAAGTTTATTTATTCAGCCTTATATGGAAAATGTCCTAATTATTATGCATTTATGAGTACGATTTTATTATGCATAGTGTTTGTATGTTTCGCTTATCTATCTAATCACATGAGTTGTGAGTTTAAATCACAAGCAAGTGCTTGTTATCAAACATCTTGATTGGAGTATTGAGGGACGTGGTAGAGTTACTGGGTTTATTATTACTGGGATAGAAAAGATCACAACTGCATACATTGTGAAATATACTACGCTTCACGAATTGAATCCCAATCAGTCTAAAAATGGACTTTTTCAATTTCAAACTGAACACATACGGTCGAATTTCGCACCTTAAAACTCATCCTGAATGGTAAATTCTTAGGGTCATGTCAAGACTTCAAAAATACCTACAAGTCGTTGAGAGCGCTTTAAAATCTACGGACTAGGTTAAGAGTCATTGGAGTTGTGATGTAATACAAGCCAAAAGGTAGAAGGGATGTATACTTATTGAGAGAAGTTACAAAGTATTTACATCAATGGTGGCTTGCTTAAACATCTCGGTTATCTGTTCCTTCCATCTAGATATTTCAACAAGTTATCTAATTTTGTTTGTTTCAACACATCATTATGGCTATTAATCTCATAATCCATTCAGATGCGTTTCTGAAAAGTGTACGACCTTTCGTTCTACGAGTTACAAAAGGCCCAATCAGAGATATCGTGGTTGCTGGCAATATACAGCGGAAAGAATGTACATTATTTAAATGTCGATTTACTGTACTGCTAACTTCTGAATGGCGACCACTCAATACTTATCGTCAGGATTGACCAAGAAGTAAGAAACGGAAACTCGTTGAAATACTTTTTTGCTGAGAATTCTATATTGTACCGAAACTATAATATTGAATACAGCCACTAATAGTAATATGCATAGTCCTCAATCATTCATTTACATCTTTCGGTATGTTCTGCTATTTGAACTGTCTTCTCCTCTAGTCACCAAGTGTCCTTCTACGCCATGCTTTCGATGCACTAAAACTCTCCACTCCGTCTGACAATTGTCGTAACTTCAATGCCACGTCCCTCCACACACTACTTACAAACATCTTTGTAAGTAGCATTCACTACAATTATTATTAGCTTACAAGATCGCCTCCCTCCTAAGAAAAAAATATATATCCAATGCAATATATCTAAAACTCTGGTCCTATTTTTTGGCAGCATCTAGCCCCTAGAAATAGCTCCTACTGTTGAGAATGAGAACACGGGTGAGCAAAACCAACCAAATTCTCAGCGCAAATTACAACGTTACTTGGTAAAATACAAAAATCATACAACGATACTCTATTTGCAAAATGTTCTTCAATTGTCTCAGGCTTCATTGTTCCTGGATTTCCACACAAATTGCTTTTTATTTCTTTTCTTCCCTTCTTGATCTTCTCAATCTTCTGCTATCAGATATTCTATTCCTTACTCACCATATATACTACTTATGTCGATATAAGTAGCTCACACCACAGTACTACTAGTCCTTATATTACGGATCTCATTGGAGTTTCTATGATCTATGTGTAAATCTGACTGCTGAATTTGAAATATAATGTCCCCAATATTTACTTCATTACCCCTCGTCGAGGGGCATAGGCCGTTCACCAGCATTCTCCATCCAACTCTGTCCTGGGCAATCCTTTCCAGTTTAAATTCATCCTTTTCATATCGGCTTCTATTTCCCGGCGTAATGTGTTCTTTGGCCTTCCTCTTTTCCGCTACCCTTCAGGATTCCAAGTTAGGGATTGCCTTGTAATGTACATTGGTGATTTCCTTAATGTATGTCCGATCGACTTTCAACGTCTTTTCCTAATTTCCTTTTCATCTGGAAGCTGATTTGCCCTCTCCTACAGTAGTAGGTTGTTGCTGATGGTATCCGGCCAACTGATTTTGAGTATCTTGTGTAGACAGCTGTTTATAAATAGTTGTACTTTCTCATGATGATTGTGTTAGTTCTCCAAGTTTCAGCTCCATACAGTAGGACTGTCTTGACGTTCGTATTTCTTCTCGTTAGCGTGTTTTTAGTGAGTTAGTTTTTCTACGGGATGGGGTCGCTAACCCCATGCCCAACCCTCCTCCTTTACCCGGGCTTGGGACCGGCAGTAACTCTAGAAGAGCTACAGGCGGAGTTCCCCAATAAAAATGGTAATATTTAAACTGGTCGATGAGATGTACATAAATAAACTGCATTCTAGAGTTGATGCACATTCCGAAACTCGAACCAGTACCGTTTGCTTCAAACGCCGTCGCGTTATCCACCTGTTTAATATTAAACTGTAAAAAATAAAAAATAATCATCTCCTATGTAACCTGTATCGGTGTGTATTAGGTGGTTAGATTTTTGATTATTTCTCACCCTTTTTCACTAATTTGTAGAATTATCTCGATTGAAAATAAACCAACATAATTAGTATAGGAGGATTTGCTAACTGTAGAATTTTCATTGTTTGGATGACAAACTGTCTTCGATAGGCCAACTTTAAACACCTGAAATGACTGGACGACTATTTCGTTCTAGTGTGGGACTCCATAGCAGTGTGCAATTCATGACCTCGGACCCCAGAATTTTCGGACTCAGATGCGAATGCCCAACCTCTAGACCACTATCTAAAAGTGTTAATGCCTAACTTCAATTAATTTATGAGAGCGCTTGATCACCTTTCATCGCCTCAGGTGGTTAACTGTCTCACATCTCATATGATTGAACTCCATCGGCATATAATCAGTTCGACTGTTTTCTTTAAAGTCAACAAACATTTTTCAAATCATAATCCATATTATTTATGTTTTCTGACACATTATGAAACTATCGTTGTAAAATTTTATTGTGATTCAACTATTTATTTGTCTTACCTAACGCAGAGTGTGTGGGCAATTTCAAAAAAACCATGTAATTATAAATTACGTTCATTTAACTTTCCTATCCTTATTTTATGTATAACCTTAATGTTTGACCAATTTTCAGGGAACAGCAACAATACTCAATATAGTAATTAGATAACATTGTTATTTTTATGCCGTAAATAATATTTCCTCAAAGTACTTTGCTTGTTCATTGATATTTAAACTTCCGATGTGTTATTCTATTACTTGTTTCAACTAACTGCATAAAACAATAAATTTGATTTAAAAGACAAATGTTAGCTTAATTATATTCAGACAATATTCACAAGTTTCCAAACTTCAAATGGCAAGGGCTTAGAACAGAGACGAGTCCAAAACAATCACAATGAATTTCCAGTCGTTTTTATATCCAATCAGACAACATCCCATGAAAGAGGATGGTTTATCGGAACGAAAACAATAGAATTGCTCAATGTAAACAGATTTTACATATTCAATGAATCTATTAGAGATACTCTAACTGTCAATCAAAAACATAATGCATATACAATTATTTGTATAGACGAGAAACATCAGACTTTCCTAATCCATATAAGGACGCAAACAGATTTATAAGGGTCCCCATATTGTTACCGGTTACTGTTGATTATCTAGGGTTAAGTTTAGAGGACGAGGGTCGGCTTTTTCAGGAAATTTCGACAAAACATAATAAAAATTTAGTTACATAGAAAAACAAATTTCACGCAAAAATGACAAAGGCACTGTCTGATCAGTGCCCCCATGAAATATAATCTTAATAGGGTAAGGTTAGTTACAGGATTAACGGTTTAAGGTTAAGAATTAGAGATAGAGTCAATTTGTTTGCTATATGCAACTCAAGGAGACTGAATTAATCGCTTAATACGTTGAAAATCCATTTTTACTCTACGTGAGTAGGAAGTAATTTTCCGTCATCATATTGAATGTTTTGAGCTGTCCGAATAGATATTTGTACTGCTCGTTACACGTCATATTCGAAAACCTAAAAGCCGAGTTATATATATATATATATAAGCTAGGTATGTTTGTAAACAACGATTCGTATAGTGGAAGCTGGTATCAGTGTTCTAGACTCAACTGGTAGGGCTAGGAGGGGAAAGGATCAATAAGGAAGCTAGACTGCTCATACCGGTTGAACGTCATTAGTTTGACCCACTGCTGAGATTGCATAAGTCGTATTCCGATTGGCGAATAAGTCATGTGATATTAAACCGGCCTAAAAGACACAATACATTGGTTCAATTCTCAGTTTAATACTTTGATCAGAAAGGTTATATATATATATATTATATATATATATCACTAATACTTGAAATCAATACAGAAATGATTCATCGTGTCCTGATACTATTAGTAAGTAAATAGAACTAAGTAATTCCATTTGAACCGTTGTCGCGCAAATTTCAAATGAGATATACATTTGTATGTACTATGGAGGGTTGTAGAGATTTTTGAACTATGCCAACTGAGTATTTAACAGTTGAGTGCTCACCGCCAAACCTGACTCGAGGTCGTACTGACCCGTAGCACTGAGTAGTCACATACTACGATAAAACACGTGTTCAGTACTTGTTGATTTTCAATGATTGTCTAAGGTCAGTCAGTGATGGTAATAGTTATAACTAAACAAATAGCGTAACTAGCAGGATGAGAGTGACCTATATAGAACAATTTGTGTTCATATGAATACAAACAATAGTTATTTGTCCTAGTATATTTTCAGAAATATTTTTCTATCGTTCAATACCTTAATTTCTTTACATATTTCTTCTATTTTGTGAATTACTGTGCAAAAAATGTATGGTCCGTTATATTGAGTATTGATCTAACTATATAATACAATCTTTGTCTACAGTAAAAAAAGTAATACGTAATGAACAATATTTTGTCAAGTCCATGTGGATTGAATCATTTAAAACCAAGAGGGATAGTCGATTACTCACCACAGACACTACACTTAGATCAATGAACAGATAAAGAGTGATTCACATTTCTAGCTTAAATCAATTAGTGATGATACTTTGGAAACACGACCCATCACGCTTTACTTCTATTATTATTGAACTCATACGATCGGTGTACATGTGATTGCTAAATCCTGGTTGCAAATACCTTTATAAGGTACTACTTCGTGAGATACTTAGGACAGGTAGGCGGCTTGACATCTTGGGCGAGTGATAGCATGCACTCACTCCACCTAGGGACAACTGCTTAAGGTAGGTTATACACGAGATTATACTGAGCGGTTCTTGATGTGTCAGCTCCATAATTTTCAAAACTTACCGTCGGCTACGGAATCCCATGTGGTGAGGTGAAAAGTACTACACATAAGGTGGACCTTCTCTAGCCTCTTCTCTTCGTCGTGAGAAGGTACCATTGATGTAGATGCTGGTTATCTGAAGGGAATACCTAACTGCAGTCACACCCCAGTACAATCAACAGTATACCCTTAAACCTTAAGGCTGTTCTTTTTAGTATTACCATTTTCTAATTGATCTGCCTGGTATGATAGGACCCAAGGGAACAAGAGTCTAAATAAATAGAGCTCGACTGGACCATCACGATAGACAAGCTGTCCTCTCATGACAAGGTGGCACTATAGTTGAAGGCTTTATTAGTCACAGATTTTCACAAGGATTTCAAAATCATTCTTGTTGTGTTTCGTGATCTTTTTGGAAAAAACTTGTTTGTCGAAAGGATACCTCTCCATCACTTCAACATTTTTACGCACTTAACTTAGGGTCAATGATACTATTATTCAAATGTTTTAAACAAGCATAGTTGATTTAGTGTTAAAACATGTGATTTATAGATTCAAGTCAAGTGAATATTATGAAACACTATTACAAAATACTGTGATCTGAGAATGTACATCAGTCAGCGTTTGAATAATCCTGTAGTTGATGTTCAAAATCAGATTTTAGTCTTCGTTGGTAAACGTGCATTTTTGGTGCATTGCTTCGATGTAACCCATTTTTAATAAAGCCCATTCTTTCAAAAAACAAATAGCGAAATGTCTGTATTAGGGCAATGAGCGCAAAAGATCCATGTACGTTAACAACGACTGGTCAAAACTGGATAAAAATAATTCTAATAATAAGTCAGTAACCATTTGAAGTCTGAATGTCAATATCAACATTTAAAAAAATTCATTCTTGAAAAAGACTGAACCTCCCAATAGTTACGACTTAAATGTCGCCTATAATAATACAATGAATATTCGTTAAAACCTTGTCAATCACATGAGGAAATTATTAAGGCAAAAATAACACGAATAAACAGAAAAACACACAACTTATAATTTATTTTCATATGATTAAAAAAGAATACTATATACATGCGATTTACAGTAAACTCAAAGTTATTATAAATAGTATAATATAATAATTATTATTATCATTGTTTAGTAGTAGTTGTTGTTGTTATAACTAGATCACATTTAGTAGGAGAAGTGGATTCTGATAAAAGAAATATGAAATAGGGAAAAAATTGAAAGTAATCGTAGTGAAGAACTGTGATAACGAGTAAGGCAGACGAATGAGAATATATAGGTTCTAAAGAAAGAACGAGAGGAAAGATGCGTTATATGAGGAAATTTCGCCAATCATGATCTACATTTTGAGAAAGGCAAACGACAATTTTTTGAGAATATTTCGAGTACATTGGAAAAAAGGAAGAATAACGAAACATCGTGAAAAGAAAGGCTTTAATATCAGTAGTATTGCTATCATACTGATTATTATTGCAATTATTCATTGTATTTTATTTTTTTTAAAAAGATTCAACAGTATTTAACATAAGGTCACGAATTTTCATTTTAAAAAAAAGAAATATTAGCTGTAATAATAATAATAGTAGCAGTGACTGAATCAGTCAAATTTACATTATTCTCAAAAGCCATAAGCATAAACATATCTATATAGCACAATAATTGATCAACTCTAAAAATATTGACATCATCGTTAGCGTATATCCATGTGGGTTTTTTTAAGTCACTGTTTGTACTTAAGTAATGCAAAATTTATCATGCTAATACTACTCGATAACAGCCAGTTTATGAGAATAATACATCTCTATTTAGGTGTAAGAGTTAGAAATACTGATCTTATCGTCTCAGCTGCTTAAACCAATAACTGATAGAATTGAGAGTTTCACAACAACTTAGCCAATAATCAGTCAATCAGTACTTACACGTAAATAGATATGACAACAACAAATGTGATTGCGTGAGAGTGTCGAATTATGACAAAACAAAGGAAGTAGTGAGCAAACAAGACAGACAAAGAGATATTGAGGCAAAATAAATGAACAATGTGTGAAATAAAAAATTACAGGATCAGTCGAAAAGAATGAGTTAGAACTACTCGACCAGAGCAAAGCAAGAGACGATTATATGCACCGAATAAAATATAACGACAAAACGAAAACTAACAGCAAAAAGAAAAACACAAAATAAACATCGAATAGAGAACAATATTGAATAGATAATAATAATAATAGTAATAATAATAATAAATTCTACGTTGATTCATCGTCATTATTATCACGTTCATCAGCATCGATATCCTCAGTTGCCACGGGAGTAATTTTCGCCTTCTCTACACCACGACTCTCTTCCTCTTGGTCATCATCATCTTCAATATTCACATAACCAGGCCATTCAGTATAATCATCCGAATCAATATAATCTTGATTCTCAGTAATTCGATGTATACCAGAACGTAGAAGTGGAGTACCTTGTCCTTTAGCTTGTATTATATATTTAAAAAGCAAAGAATGTGTTTTGATTTATTACAGCGAAAAGATGCACAGATATTAGAAAATTAAACTGTAAGCAGGATAGAGTATGAGCTATTGGTTGTTTAAATCAGCCTCAAATCGATGTTACATCAAAGGACACCATAAACTTAACAGAAATATTTATATGGTTCAAACTGTTGGCGAATTCAAATGAACCATTTTATGTAGATAAAATTAACCAGGTCATAACTGATTCAACCGAGAAAAGAATCACGAATGTACTAATACGACTCCTGAAGATGGTCGATGATTCCACACACAATAAACTACGATCTCGTCGATTTCGTTTGCCCTACATGTATGGATTACTAAAGACATATATATAAGATGTTCTTCTTAGACCTATTCTGTCAATAGTCAATTCACTCTACCACAAAGTTGAACGATGGCAAGCGGGAAAGTTAGAACCAATCAGTCGGCGAAAACGTAGGACCAGGCACATATATGCATCGATCCAAGTTTCCACACCTTATTAGCATAAGATGAACATTATATTTCGTAAGAACAATTAGAAGACGGAGTTGATCTGAAAAATGTGATGTATTTGCGCTATACATTTCGAACAATCTGGTCACACATACTTGTCAAGGCATTTTAGATGAAAATAATAAAGATCAATGAAATTAAATTTCAAGTAGAAAAGGTGACAAAGGGGAGAGAAACATTTTACATCGTATAGAATGAATAATAAATAATAAGGAATTTTCGCATTATCCTAGGCCATAGAATGACTTAAGGATTATCAGAGTAAATTCAAGGTTACGACAAATTGTTTTTGTACACGTAAGGGGGACATAAATTTACGAATAGCCAAGGCTTTAGTAAACCTGAGAATACGTCCTTGACAATTTCTATACAATGTTTTAAAAGGCACATAAATCTCAATTTTGTGCCCCGTTTCAATAATATGTTTCGTTATCAATGAACATGGTTTTCTACCTCCCACTTTGATCGGAACATTGAACACTAATTGGTTTTGAAGCCACCTAGGCACATGTTCAATAACCCTTGATTGCATATCAATGTAACTCCGCCTGTAGCTCCTCCAGGGGCTACTGCCGGTCCCAAGCCCGGGTAAAGGAGGAGGGTTGGGCATGGGGTTAGCGACCCCATCCCGTAGAAAATCAACTCGCTAAAAAAACGCCAACCAGAAAAAATCATTCAAACCTTACAAACTCTGCCCTGGGAGTAGAAGGAATAATTATGACGTCTCATGATGAAAGCCGAGTTCCTTCGGAAGTCATGAGGCCGATGCACCTTCTTACAACCAGAGTGACAAATTTTATAGGTACATGGAATGTCCGAACAATGTGGGAGACCGGCAGAGTCTTTCAAATTGCTGCAGAAATGAGAAAATACAAGCTGGAGGTGTTTGGAATCAGCGAAACACATTGGACGCAGGTTGGACAACAACGACTGTCTTCAGGAGAACTTCTGTTATACTCCGGTCATGAAGAAGAAAATGACCCACATACACAAGGAGTGGCACTGATGCTGTCTAGAAAAGCACAAAATGCACTTGTTGGATGGGAATCTCATGGACCGAGGATCATCAAAGCCTCCTTCAGAACAAAGAGAGAGGGCATTACAATGAACATCATCCAATGCTATGCGCCGACCAACGACTACGATGAAGACGCTAAAAACCAATTCTACGATAGGCTGCAGTCAATCTTCGAGAAGTGCCCAACCAAGGACCTGACCATTCTAATGGGAGATTTCAATGCCAAGGTTGGAATGGACAACACTGGATACGAAGACGTCATGGGACGACATGGACTGGGAGGAAGGAACGAAAACGGTGAGAGATTTGCAAACCTATGTGCCTTCAATAAACTGGTCATAGGTGGCACCATATTCCCACACAAAAACATACACAAAGCCACTTGGATTTCACCGGATCACACTACACAAAATCAAATCGACCATGTCTGCATCAACAAAAAGTTCAGGAGGACGATGGAGGATGTGAGAACCAGAAGAGGAGCTGATATAGCATCCGATCACCATTTGCTGGTCGCCAAGATGAAACTAAAACTCAAGAAGCAGTGGAAAACGGCGCGGACAACATCACAAAAGTTTAACACGGCCTTTCTTCGAGATGCTGACAAACTCAACGAATTTAACATAGCCCTCAGCAACAGGTTCGAGTCCTTTCATGACCTACTCAATGGAGAGTGAACCACCATAGAGAGCAGCTGGAAAGGTATCAAGGAGGCAATCGTTTCAACGTGTCAAGAGGTTCTGGGCCAAAAGAAGCACCATCACAAGGAATGGATCACTGTTGGTACACTGGATAAAATTGAAGCAAGGAGGAACAAGAAGACAGCAATCAATATCAGACGAACAAGAGCAGAAAAAGCCAAGGCACAAGCCGAATACACAGAGGCAAACAAGCAAGTGAAAAGGAGCATCAGAACCGACAAACGTAAATATGTGGAAGATTTAGCGATGACAGCGGAAAAGGCTGCAAGAGGAGGAAACATGAAACAACTGTATGATACAACAAAGAAACTTGCTGGAAATTACCGTAAGCCAGAAAGACCAGTGAAAAGCAAGGAAGGCAAAGTAATCACCGACATTGAAGAACAACGAAACAGGTGGGTAGAACACTTCAACGAACTCTTGAATTGACCAGCTCCACTGAACCCACCCAACATCGAAGCAGCACCCACAGACCTCCCAATCGATGTTGGCCCACCAACATTTGAAGAGATCAGCATGGCCATTAGACATGTACCAACAGACTGGAAAGAAGGACTTCTCATCAAGATACCAAAGAAGGGCGATCTGAGTAAGTGCGACAACTACAGGGGCATCACTCTCCTCTCAATACCAGAAAAAGTCTTCAACCGAGTATTGTTAAACAGAATGAAGGATTCAGTGGACGCTCAACTTCGAGATCAACAAGCTGGATTTCGTAAGGATAGATCGTGCACAGATCAAATCGCAACTCTACGTATCATTGTGGAACAATCAATCGAATGGAATTCATCACTGTACATCAACTTCATCGACTACGAGAAGGCATTTGATAGCGTGGACAGGACGACACTATGGAAGCTTCTTCGACACTACGGTGTGCCTGAGAAGATAGCAAATATCATACGGAACTCTTATGATGGACTAAACTGCCAAATCGTCCACGGAGGACAACTCACCGACTCGTTTGAAGTAAAGACCGGTGTTAGGCAAGGTTGCCTACTCTCACCCTTTCTCTTTCTCCTCGTGATCGACTGGATTATGAAGACGTCAACATCTGAAGGAAATCACGGAATACAGTGGACAGGCAGGATGCAGCTTGACGATTTAGACTTCGCGGATGATCTGGCTCTTCTATCACAAACGCAACAACAAATGCAGGAGAAAACGACCAGTGTAGCAGCAGCCTCAGCAGCAGTAGGTCTCAATATAAACAAAGAGAAAAGCAAGACTCTCCGATACAATACAATATGCACCAATCAAATTACACTTGACGGAGAAGCTTTGGAGGATGTGGAAATCTTTACATATCTGGGCAGCATCATTGATGAACACGGTGGATCAGATGCAGATGTGAGGGCGCGGATCGGCAAAGCAAGAGCAGCATACCTACAGCTGAAAAACATCTGAAGCTCAAAACAATTGTCAACCAACACCAAGGTTAGAATTTTCAATACAAATGTCAAGACAGTTCTTCTGTATGGGGCGGAGACGTGGAGAACTACGAAAGCCATTATCCAGAAGATACAAGTGTTTATTAACAGCTGTCTACGCAAGATACTTCGGATCCGATGGCCAGACACTATCAGCAACAAGTTACTGTGGGAGACAACAAACCAGATTCCAGCAGAGGAAGAAATCAGGAAGAAGCGCTGGAAGTGGATAGGACACACCTTGAGGAAATCACCCAATTGTGTCACAAGACAAGCCCTCACATGGAATCCTGAAGGTCGAAGGAGAAGAGGAAGACCAAAGAACACATTACGCCGAGAAATAGAGACAGACATGAGAAGAATGAACAAGAACTGGAAAGAACTAGAAAAGAAGGCCCAGGACAGAGTGGGTTGGAGAAAGCTGGTCGGCGGCCTATGCTCCATTGGGAGTAACAGGCGAAAGTAAGTAAGTAAGTAAGCATATCAATGTGTCCATACAATCATGTAAATTGTTAAATACAGTGGGGCGTGACGTAATCATTTGTGCATTATCTAGGTCTATTTGGAATCATGGGCTTAGACTTTTCAATCATAACCAATTGATGGTTGCTTCCAATCTGTCTTAAAATTGTACTATTGGATTTACCTCTATATAGTTATTTGATAGTAATGTGTCAGTCAGTAACTTTTCATCTTTTCCAACCGTGTCAATAGTGCGAATTCTTTGAATCCTATTAAAAGAGACATTTAATCAAGCTTCGCTTGTATTTCAATGGACAGAAACTGTGGAAATTTAAGTATCGTCCCGTCCAAATGGGCTTCCTATAATACCATCATCCCTTCGACCCAAACTATGTCTAAAAAGGGCAATCGGTCATTGTTTTCATAAGTCCTGACAATATCGTTTTGAACCCCATTTAGTTTATCTGATAACTGTGAAACCTCAAAATCTTTATCACATATAATTAGTATATCATCCATGTATCTTCTATACAAAGTCCTTCTATAATGAGCTCACTTGTCATATTTTCCACATATAACATGGGTAGGTTAGTCAGCTACAACGTGGGACGAGGCACATATATGCATCAGTCCAAGTTGCCACACCCCATTAGCGCAACAAGATGATCACCAAATTCATAGAAGCAATTACTTCAATGGTGGTAATATATGAAAGAAAGATTGCATATGAGGATGTAATACAGGAGGAAATAATTAGTCTTTAGAAAGCAGGGTATAAACCAATTTAAACTTCATGTCTTAAGAGAAGACAAAGAGCGTATACACTGACGCTATTGTGATTGATTCTGAGC